TTCTGACCCTTCCTTTGCATCCGGCGTGACCATCTGCAAATCAAAGGGAGACTCTCCGGAACGTATGAGCCCTTATCAGAACCAACAGGTGACTTAGCCTTCAAATAGGGAAGCGGTGATACTTCTATCCCTTGAAGGCGCTCCCATAAAAAGACCTGCAGGAAACTAGAATTCAGAAAAGTCTCCACAGCCATAGTTCCGGCCGCCTCTTTCTCAAGCATCTGAACTTAATCAAGCAAACAGTATAGGTGTCCTAGGAACATGGGGGCCAGACGGAGTGTGCTGCCATGCGCTATTGCCAAAGCCAAAGGAAATACCCTCTCGTGCAAACAATCTTGAGAAAAATCACAGAAAATGAATCTTCCAAGCCACAATGATATAAACACTGCAAGGCGACACGACTCATTCCTATTAACATCTCCGAAGAATTGTACCCAGTTGCTAAACCGCAGGGAAGTGCTAGGAGAAGTCGGAGCACCTTTCCGTAAAATCTCAAGCTTTAACTTATCTTCCGGGGTCAACGCAATGTGGAAGGGGTCTTGACTGCCGCAAAGTGGGAGCCGAAAAATGTTGGCTACGTCCTCAAGCGTGGGAGCAAACTCTCCCCAGGAGCAGATGAAGGTGTGTGTCTCGGTACTCCATCGTCTAACCACATGCCGGAGCATCTTGGCTTCAACATGAATGTCATAAGCTTTAGAAATAAAAATAGCATCCAGCACCCCTGCCCGGCTCAAAATGTCACAAGTGGAAGGGTCCCTTAGTTCGCTATCAACCCACTCAGACCAACCTTTGCTGATGCCACACGGATATTGGAAGAATAAAGGGACTGCTGGAAATAGACCCCTCTCTATGCAGCATCTTGACATTGACGCAGGATCAATTACTGGAGCTATTTCCGGCGCTGGCTCCCCATCAATGATTATATCTTCGTCAGTACTCTTAAGCAAAGGAGGCGGTCTCCCTCTTTTCAATTTGTCATCTGTCGAGTAGAGATGGTCCCTGAGGATGGATGATAGATTAGTGAAAGCCATGATAACTCTTGGGAAAACTACAGGAACCTGCGCATAGAAATTTGGAAAGAAGCAAAATAAAATTAGCACATGTAAAATACATGTCAAGTATGACTAGTTGAGTTCATCCAAGCAAACATGCAATTTAAAATTCAAGCTCATGACAGGTAAAAGTCTCACTCTGTGATCAACAAGCAGGATAAGCAAGTCCTTTCTCAAAATGAAAAAAAATAAATAAATATTCAACCAGGCAATACAAAACATGCACTCTGTCGGTTATTGTTCTCCACAGGCAACACACGCAGAAATCCATAATTGATCAGGCATGCGTTCTCAAGGAATGAAAGCCTAGGCCAAGCACCAATCTACACCTACTCTAAAAATACCCGAAGTTGGTAGAATTATTTACCAAAAAGTTAAGACAGAAGTACCAAAAATCTAAATTAGAAGATTGAGAAATTCGAAGGTTCCAGCAGCAGCACCTACCCTCACCTATGCCTGAGACGTATATACCTGCACAAAAATAAATAAAAGAGAAAGCACATCATGCCAAAATTAGCCTTTTTACACACAAAAGAGGAAGCCCGTGCAAAATAAAAATGAAGAAAAGGGGAGAAACCCAAGCCAACAAGAAAAATTATTACCTTTCCAGCAACTCGAGCAAAATCAACGAAGAAAGAAACTCAGACAATGGCACGGGCCCTTCCTTGCTAGGACCTACTCCGTGAGCACTCTTGTTGCAGCGGTAACAAGATAGGTAAAAAAGGGGTTTGGTATTTGGCTGCCAAAACAAAAGGCAACACCCATGGGTATGAGAAACCCAACAAATTCTTCAATGAATATAAGGGAAAACTGGAAAAAAATGGTACCTTGCTAAATCTTCCAAGGGATGGCCTTGAATGCACCAAGAAGAAGAGAAAATCGGGGATTTAAAGGCAAAATCCGCACAAAAGAAAACCCTTCCAGCATTAGCGAATGGATTTTCTTTGGACGAAGGAGGGACGACGAGGTTGAGTCGGACTGGGGGCTTTCTTCCCAGCGGCTGGAGATGGGTGATTTCTACCCGATTGCACTTTCTCACTTGGTCTGACTTTGTGGAAGGGCAAAAGAGAACACATGAAAGATAGTTGGAGAGAAGTTTTGGGTATGGGGCATAAAAAAGAAAGGAAAAGGAAGAAGTTTGCGTCTGGTGTGTAAAAAAAAAAAAGTGAAGAAAATTCTAGGAGGTTTGTGTCTGGTGCGAGAAAAGAGAAACAAAGGAGGAAAAATAATAAAAAGAAGAGGAAGGCAGTCGACGTTGGGGAACTGCAAATAACCGCTGGGACCAATCATGACACACCGTCATTTTGCACGCGGGAAGAGGAAGAGTCCTCCACAAATACAAATTTGATTTTTTGGGTTGGGTTTAATTATTCGGCCCATTCCAGCACCTGCTCATGGCCCTTATAATTAAGAGGGCTAATATTGAGACCCAAAAAATACATGGTTGGACCCGAATAAATTATCAGCCCAAAACGACGATCCATTAGGAAAAAGCGTAAAGCATAGTGCACCGAAACCCACCACATGCAAATTACAATTCACGTGCCACACTAAATAGATAAATTCGCTCAAGGTTGAGATAAAATATACCGGGTTTACAGGCCCATGCAAAAAATAAGCATCGCAAGACGATAAATTAAAACATGCCAAGCAATGTGCCATGCCAAACACGAAATCATTATCGCACACCCAACCACGCTACAAGCCTAAGTGGGCCCAAGCCACTCAAAAAATCGGGGCTTACTTGAGTGGGTTATGGTATGGACAGTAATAAATCAACATGAGGCCCATTGATGGGCCAGAAAAATGGAAAGTCTCGGGTTGCTTGGGAGCCTCGAGACTCAAGCCCATTTCTCAGGCCCAAACATGTAGGTAAGCACAAGAGAGAAAAGTAGCCCAAAAGCCCAAGCAAAATAACCTAACTAAGAAATGACCCAACCAAAAAAAATAAGCCTAATCAAGAGGCCCAATATTTCACAAAAAACCCATTTGCTTTGGAAACCACCTTGGCCCTTATAAAATCCTAAAACAGCCCACAAAAGCTTCAGTTCTTTTGAAAAACAGAAAACACGTGAAGGAGGAGGTTGGCAGACTCAGCAAGCAAAGCTGCTGGGAGCAAGTTCCAAGCCAGAGACGCCCAAAAAACCAAGGAATGCTGGCCTGCACGCTGTTAAAAGCACCCCTTGGACCAGCATATATTTTCAATTCCTTTCCTTCATCAGATTTAGCCAAGGCAGGGGGAAGGGAAGAAGAAAAAACAGTAACCAAGAAGGGAAACTCCCACTGCACAGCTGCGGGAAAGGGGGACATTGAGCTCCCAAATCTCTTGAATTCGAGCAAATAAACAGAGGCAATTTTTGCCAAGATAGGGAAGTCAAAGAATAGGAGGAGAAAGGAGGAAAAATCTTAGCCAAAATAAGTAGAAGCCATTAGGGTTTCTTGAAGAATGGTGATTTCCAGCAACTATAAATTGAGGCTTCCCCTACCCAACAGAGGCAACTCGAAATTCAGGGAGCAAGCTTTCTCTCTAAACTTGCAAAAATCTAACTACCTCGTGCACTGTTCACTTTCTTCTCCAATTTGTTTTTCTGGCAGCTGCCAGAAGAACTCTGCCTTTCTTTTTCCTCTTTCCCAGTCAAAATCCCTCACAAAACACCTAATTCCTTACCTTAATACTTCCTTTTCTCATAAACCAAGCCTAATCTCTCTCTTAGTGCTAAACTTATGTTGGTTTTGCTCCCATGCCACATGCCACTCATGCTGAGCTAAAAGACTATCTGAAAGCATGCTAAAATTATCTGTAAGTCACCATTATTCTGATCCGTGAAGATAGCCAGAATATCTCCTAAGATTTTGCTACTCTTTCGAGGTATTTTGGGGCTTAATCTTCGAACCCAGGCAAAGGGGACAGTCTCCTCAGTCCGCCCTTTTACAGCAGCCCAACCCATTAGCTGCTGGAAGAAAAAGTCCCCCACACCCTTTTATCTTCTCATGTGCACACAAAGATAAGTTTAAATTAGTGCCACTGCTATCTCTTTATTTTTGCCCTGCTGGTGCTACCCATTGGATGCGCCAACCAACTGCTCAATGAAATGTCTCATAGCAGTACCTATTCTGTTATATATATTCATTCTTAACTAATATGTGATAGGCATTGAAGCATAAGCATTCTTCATAGTTGTAGCCAATGTGTAGTTTATGTTTCATATAAATTGGATGGTTTGTGATATAGGTAGTGAAGCATCGATTGATAAAAGTGACAAAATGCTGTCTTTGACAAACAAAAATTTTCAAAGTTGGGAAGACCTCATTGAAGCTGCTCGTAAGATTGCCTTTGTGCAAGGGTATGCACTAGTTATTAGAAGATCTAAATCCGAGATATATGTTGTCCTTGGTTGTGATAGAGGCGGTAATTATAAAAGCAGAAAAGTTCCACTAGAGGAAAGAAAAAAGAAATCAACATCTCGCCTCATAAACTGTCCATTTGAAATTTGGGGCAAAAAGAAAAGGAAACTTCAAGGATTTTGGAAGTTGGAGATTAAAAGTTTGTTGCATAATCATGAACCTTCAACGGACATGTCTGGACATCCCTATTGTCGTCGATTTTCAAATGAGGAAATTATGCGGATTAAAGAAATGTGTATGGCTGGTATACCACCGCGCCAAATTCTCTCTTCACTTCAACAAAGCAATCCTCATCTTCGAGCAATTTCCCGAAACATTTACAATAAGAAGGCTAGAATTTTGGAAGAGAGCCTAGCATGACATACAGTTATTCAAGCATTAGTGGATGAACTTGGTGAAGGTGGTTTCTCTTATAACATTGAGTATGACCCAGAAGGGCATTTGACTCACTTGTTTTTTGCTCGTCCTATATCAATTGAATTGAGTAAGAGTTACCCACATGTCTTTTTGATGGATTGCACTTATAAAACTAATAAGTATAAGATGCCATTATTGGATATAATAGGAGTTTCAAGTTTCAACACTTCATTCTACTCTTGTTTTGTCTTCATGCAAAAAGAAGAAGAGAAGGATTATGTGTGGGCTCTAGAAATGTTCAATAAAATTTTGGGAGTTCATAATCAGCCATTGGTGATCATATCAGATAGAGAATTGGCCTTAATGAATGCTATACGCATTGTATTCCCAAGTGCTTGTAATTTGTTATGCGTGTGGCATATTGAGAAAAACATTCTTGCAAATTGTAAACCTCATTTTAGAGAAGAAGTTGATTGGGTTGCTTTCCTATCTACTTGGGCTGATTTAATCAAATCTCCAAATGAATCATCATTCGATAAAGCTTGGGATCATTTTGAAAATGAGTACAAGGAGAATGCAGCTGTTTTGAACTATATTAGAGGTACTTGGCTGCCATTGAAAGAAAAATTTGTAAGTGCATGGACAGATGAGGTTGCACACTTAGGTAATCGGGCTACTTCAAGAGCTGAAGGTGCACATGCAACACTAAAGAAGTATCTTTAAGTTTCAACCAGAGGTCTTCGTGAGGTAAAAGAAAAAATATGTCTTGCTACTGAACATCAATTTCAAGAAATCAAAACTCAACTCTCAAGTGAAAAGGTTCGTGTTCCACATAGACCGGATTCCATTCTTTAAAGAAGTTGTTACTCATGTATCTATGTTTGCTTTAGATGAGTTATACAAGCAACATGAAGCTGCAAAATATGGTAATCTTTCATCTCAATGCACAGGCCATTTTTTCAAAACGATGGGTATTCCTTGTGGACACATGATTAAGGATATGAAAATTCAAGTATTGCCTTTAAATGCCATACATAATCAGTGGAGGATGGATGCACGATTGTTTAACAATGATCAACATGGAAGTTTGGATGATGAAAATGATCAAATAAATAGTCTTCTATTGGACTTCAAAGAAAAGTATGAAAAACTGCCTATTCTTAAAAAAGATGATACAAAGAGACAACTATCTCAATTTGTTGGTACTTCTTTTCCCTTAATTATGGAGCCTAAGATTCAACCTCATAAAGGACGGCCACTGGGGTCAAAGAAGAGAAATGAATCTAGCTCCACAAGGCGTGAACCTTCAAAATTTGAGATAGTTGAAAAGTCTCGTAAATGTAGTGTTTGCAAAGGTGTTGGCCACAATAAAAGTACTTGTCCATTTCAAGTTGCCTCTTAATTCTACCTTTTGGAAATAGATAGAAATGTAAGTATTTGTATGTCAAATTCTTTAATTTTTTTTTTATACTAAGTATGTGAGTACTATTTATCTTTGTTGTAGTTAATAGATAATAATTTTTTTCGACTAACATGTTTACAGGTAGAAGAACCAAAGAATGTTACTAACCAAACTGTCATTAGGAGCTTAGATATGCAGAGAGCAAGGTACTTCTTATGCATAATAGTCTCATATTTTTATTCTTTCATAATTTTCAAAGTAATTGTACATGTCATCTTATTAAGGGGAATTGTATCTCATCAAATTTTACAGTAGTAAATAGTATTATGAGAGATCAATTAGTTTGTTAATTAATTAGTCTTCTTTCTTGTAGGTATTTTGAAGTGGTTGGATGGATTCATCCTTATTTCAGATGTCTTTTTTTTAACACAAGGAATAAGTGTTGTATGGAATGATACAGATTGGTTAATGGAGCTAAATTATCTTTTTTGTGGTTATAACTTTTCTCTGCTCTTGTCTGGAATGATATAGTTTGGTTAATAGAGCTAAATTTTTTGGCAACCACGATGGTTTTGTCTGTACTTTTTGGTTGTTACTCTTGTCGCTATCTCTGTTTAGCCATATTTTTTGGCTTTCAATGAAGTTTCAGCTATTGACCAAAAAAAGAACATGCCAATGGATCTAAGTTTTTTGCTTTCTTTTATTTCCCATGTTATCTTAACAGTCCAATGAAGCATAGTAAATATTTATATTTTGTTCTCGAATGGATCACTATTTTCTAAATCAAGAATGGGAGATGCCAAATGCAAATGAATCACTAAAGAAAAATTTTGCCTATTCACAAAAAATAATTAAAAAAATCCCTATGGTTGCAAGGTTTATCTGTGGGCATGTGTTTTTGTAGCAGGTGGACCACATAATTTTGTCTAGACAAATATATAGTGTTAATTATTTCTTACTTGATGAAAGGAAAAAAAAAAAAAAAAGCAAATTGGAAAATTAAGTGTAAAGAAAAAGAAATAATATAAAAGTGAAGTAAAAAGAAATAAGATAGGGTAATGGTAGAATAGGAAAGAGAAAAAACAAAAAAGAAAAAAAATCATTAAAAATCATTAAAAAGCAAAAAGAAGTGTAAGTGGAGAAAAAAGGAGTGAGGAAATCAGCTCCCTTATTTTTTCCCATTTATTATTCCTTGGCCGCACATTCACTCGATCTACGGTTGAACCTACCTTGACAACGATTGGCTACAACGAATAGTTCGCCATACAACTCCAAGCAAACTATTACTTGATCCATAGATTTACGTGGAACAGTAATGAAACTTCTGAGATAAACGATTTAGGTCGCGACCAAAAGTTATGGTTGAGCCGTTTCTGGTGTACCAAATTTTGGCCTTTGTGGCGGACAATATAAGATGATTCTTTAGGAACATCGAGATTAATTGTCCAAGAGTAATCTTGGGCCATGACTGATATAGAACAAGATCCCTTACAAATTTAGAAGGCAAAAGGAAAAAGGAGCCCTTCTTGGCAATTAATTAAAGCACACCCACCAACACAGTAACTCTGAAGAAAGCGTGGAATAACAGCCGATTCTCACTTCATCCCAAGTTTTTTTCCTTGCTGACGCTGAATTCATCTTGTGTTGATCAATAGCTACTGCTCAAGATAACGTATTGCTTTGCGCGCCATAGTTCAACTTTAAAATAGCCTGTGCTAACCTAACCTAACCCAGGAGGTCGACAACAGCATGCACCCAACTTAGCCATGAACTCTTTTTCTTTTTTTTTCGCTCTTTTCATCTTTGTTGTCAAGCATCGATAAAACTACTCTATCCAAGATGCACCCAACATCTTAGCCATGAAACTATACCGGTCTGCAGCTTCATCAATCTGTAAATACAAGAGCCATATATAAATACAATGGTCGGGACCATAAATGACAATATAAACTCAATCAGATACTTGCCATTTTCTGGGTTGGACGTCCGCCTCCATGCCCAGCCTTGCATTCAATGCGACCAATAATCGGATTGGTCTGTGGGCTTTTCTCCAAACTTGTGCTCAGAACATATTGCAAGGTCTAAGAATAAAGAGAATCAATTATACAATTGAAGAGAAAATAACACACACAACTGAAACAAACAAAAGCACAAAATCAATAAAAGAGAATAACACACAACTGAAACAGACAAATGCACAAATAAATAAAAGACTCGTAGATTCTATCGCAAAAGAGACTCACCGCCAATAACTTCAACGTGTGCAATGGTACGACTCGATCATCATGATCTGCAGTCAATAGCATGGTAGATGGGTACTGGTGAGGTTGGCTTGCATGCAGTTCCCATGGTCTCCTGACGTTGTGTAAAGGCGAGTACCTGAAAGTAGAAGGCAGGGAGGGATAAGCTCGTATTCATATTTACAAGAACCACCAAGACATCTGAGCCTGTCACAGAAATCGGAACAAAACATGCTCACAAATTGCCTAGTAAGAAGAAGACTGATGAAGAGGCGCATCAAGCATAATGCATAAATATGTACTGCAATCCCTCTTATCCTAACAATCACACTCATTCCAACAAAGAATGAGAAATCTTGTTTATGGAGTTCTAAGCAAATGTGAATTGGAGTAATACTTTATCCCACCATCACTATCCATCACAGAACTGAGACTAAAACAAGGCAGTGAAATACTTCTACAGAATTTTAAAACATTGCCCTAACCAAAACAGGACTGCAATCAGATACACCTCAACTCCACCAAATGAAGAGAGAAAATGTAAACAAAACAGTACTCACTTAATTAACCATTGGAATTCTTCCTCCTTGTCAGAACAGCCATAATCAGAAGTCCATGCATGACCTGAGTAACTCTTCTACATCAAACATATGTTGCAACCAGAAGAAGAAAAAAAAAACCTTAGAAGACCCAAAGGAAGTAAATTCACCTATGGTAAACTTGTGGAACCGTAGCATGTCCATAACACCAACATGAGCTAGTGCACAACCAAAAAGATCGGGTCTCTGCGAGAAGGCATTTTTTTTCATATAAATCACTCACTACAGATTTAATAGTAAACAAAACTAAAAATGCCACACCTGATTTATGCAAGCTCCAACAAGCAGCCCACCATTACTTCCACCTTCGATACACAACTTGCTGGGTTGGGTATAATCGGCAGATACCAGGTATTCAGCTGCAGAAATGAAGTCATCAAAGCAATTTTGCTTTTTAGCGAGGGAGCCTGATTTATGCCATTCCTCCCCGTACTCCCCACCACCACGGATATTTGCTATGCAGAAAACAGCACCTAAATGTCTTGTAAGTACAATACGACTAACACTGAAATAAGGTGTAATACTAATGTTGAATCCACCATATCCACATAGCAAGCACGGGTGTGATCCATCCAAAGGAATGTTCTTGCTGGCCACGACAAACATTGGTATCTCAGTTCCATCCTTACTGGGAATGAATACCTGGATAATGAAAAAACCCATCATATAGTAAATGAAATACTGCATGTGATAAAAAATTGAAGGTACAAAGAAAGAATGAGATCAAGCTAGTGACACTAAAATGTCAGTACAAGAAGCTCTAATACCTGATCAACTTGGAACTCTGAGCGATCAAACCCAGGAACTGTAATTTCACGAAATACCTTCATGTCCGGAATTTTGTTCGCTAAATTACACTGATATACTATACCAGGGGTGAGAAAACTTGTAAACCAAAAAAAAGCAGTGCTGTCTTCACGTCTTCCAGAAATCTCACTAACCGAGCCAATGTCGATGGGTAATTGATGCAGCAAGTTACCTGAATTCAAATCCCTAATCTGTAGTACAGACTTCACATCACTCAAGTAACTAACAATCATTTGGCTACCATTGACAGCACACACTGATTCAAGTACATCTTTTTCAGCTTCTTGGAGAACGTCAGTCCAAACAGTTGGTTCCTTTAGATCAACTCGGACCAACTTATATTTTGGAGCATCTTTGTTTGTCAGAAAAGTAAACACAGTTTCATCATTTGCAATGAGATCATACATTGCATCAAATGTATCGATAAGCTTCAGAAATGGGAGCAAATCATTTTTCTCCCTTAGACCTTCAAGCCCATTAGGAAGTGCAGACATGTCACAGTAATAAAATTTGTTGACTGGGTCGCAACCCTCATCAATAGATAGAATAATATACTGCAGATTACAGAGTACCAGAAGGAAAAAAAAAGTTAGTTCAAAATAATATTACAATAAATCTGCTTTTTCTAAGCTATGCAACAATCTAATCAAAACAAAAATGGCAATTTCTAAGAGGTGTTTCACATTGGAAAAAAACTAGAATAATTATATAATAATTTAATATCCACTGATTATCATAAATATATAGAGCTGTAACATCCACGTCATTAGATCCATCTTACAACCATGGCCCAAATGCTTCAATATGAAACTCTCGGAATCTGGCACCATTTTCTGTAGGGTGAGAGATCATTAAACGTATTCACACCCAATTCGCCATCAATAGTGTGGTGGCTATAACAGTATCCTTTAACAGATTCCGTTCAAAAACAAAAAACAAAAGATCAAAAGACGTAAATGTGAATGACAAAATGGCATAACTAAGGATAAGACTTAAATGCCCATTTACAAGGGAAATGATACTTCCCTAACAGTATCTTGGACAGACAACAGTCAGTATTTATGACTCATAATGCGTGTCATTACTATGATTGTCCAAAGGTGATGCATCTTGGTTGCTAAGTTGCCAGTATCAATAGCACTTAAAACCTGATATGATACATGCTTCTATTACACACAGAGGGCCCTTTTCTACAGAAAATGTGTCACTGAATCTTTTCTCTACACATACTACAAATTTTATACATTGAGCAGTTTCACCACTGGGCAGAGTTTCTGGGTGAGACCTCAACTCTAAACCCCATTCTAATGCAAAATCACAAAACTATATGGAGAGAGCAGGTGACATGTCTTAA